ATAGGCTAAAATTCATTCCATTAGTCATAAAATTACTATACCAAAATGAGCTCAAGCATATATAAACTCAACATGACATTACTTTGGAATTTAAGCCGAAACCAAATTAAACACATAAGTCATGAAAATGCTTAATATGTTTCTCATAATTGGCTCAAAGAGTCCTTATGGATTATATGTGTAAATTTTGAATATAAATCCTATCCGGATAATTAGCCCTGCATTTAGAAACACACTATGAGTCTATCACAAAGTCAAACTGAAAATCCAGACCTTATAAATATTTTGAGATACCAAGAAAAAACAAATAATCTCAAAGTCTAACTTTTAATTTGAGCCAAAATAGAACTTTATATAAACTTGTGTCCATTAACTTTATTTGAGTTTAAAGTCCACAAAACCAAATTAGACTTTAAATTCAACTTTACATAGACAAAGCCTAGTACGACCAAATTAGGCTTAACCTTACTGAATTGTGAATTAAGTCCAGAACATAGAACAAAGTTCAAATATCTAGATTTTAAACTAGTAACAAATTTTGTTAATTTGAGCCAAATTACACAAAAACCAAATGTCAACCTTAGCTCAAATAACCTTAGTCTCAAATCAAATATAACAAAATAAGACAAAATAAAGATCCACCATTTTATTTTGTCTTCTTTAATGAAAGACTATAAAACTTAGCTCCTTATGTTGATTTAAAACCTCATAAACAAACATAATTTTAATCCAACCTTTAGATGGACAACTCCATAGATCCCGATAACATACAAGTAACAAGATCAATATTTATGCTCACAAAAATTACTTAGAATTAAAATAATAAACTCAAATAAAGACAACTTTATCTCTAGACAGACATCGTAACTCCATTAATATTTCATCTTTGGACGAAATATTAACTTGTAATTGATATCTTAGTGCAATAATCAAACATTGACAATAAGAACATATCAAACAATAAATTTTCCTTTTCGCCGATTTATTGTTCATATGTATAACCAGATAATTGTCACATGTTTATCACAATACTGACAATCGAATTGATACAATCCTTAATACAATTATGCACAGTTGCCAAACAAACAAATTATGCACTGACACTCAAATTAATCTCTAAATTGAAATTCATGAGCACTTTAGTTAACAAATAAATTGAGGCCCAAAAATTGAATACACATAAAATATTCTACGTGCATGCTCAATTCACCTAATAACAACTGCAATGGTTTAAAAACATTCCATAAAATGTGTGATAGTTTACAAAAAATAAAACTAAAGCCAATTTTACCCAATCAAAGAGATATGGCAGCATCAAATACCTAAACATACAATCTGAATCCATAGATATATATATATACATAGGTATGCAAGGTCAATCCTTCACCCAATCGGCAATGGAAATAAATTAATTTTCAATTACGCCTCATGCATAAATCTGAATCTATATATATATAGTAAGAATTACTATTTACCAATAATAGTAATCCAAAAATTTAGGAATGCATTTATTACATACTATTTCTTGGATTTTTTTTCTTTTTTTTTTTAGTAAAAATGAAACAGCCGAATCATCTCTGCCGCCTATATATTAGGAATGTAATTCAAATACAAATTGAAATCACCTAAAGAAAAGGAATTAGTTGATTCCTCCATAACACGATCTTATCCCATATCAAAATACGATTATATTTTGGATTTCATTTTTTTTTTACATAAAATCGAATCAGCCTAATAAAAATGTTAAAAAATTATAACAGATCTATCGACTTTTGAAATGAATCTTCGAAAATCAATAAAAATTCACAACATTATATCACAAAAAAATACTTGCAGTATGAAAAAATAAAAAAAAAATAAAAAAAAACTCATGTATTTTGATAGAAAAATAAAGATCTATAACTAGATTTGAGGTGTTTTGTGTTTAAAATTTTGAAAACTTAATAAAAATTTCGAAAACTTAATAAAACGCAAATTTTAAATAAAAAACACAAAAACAAATTAAAATTGACCCAAAATTCATAATGCATACTTTTTGAAACCGTGAGGGGTATGGAGATAAGTGAGAAGAGATAAGATAAATGCAAGGATGCGGAGAAAAAAAATAAAAGCCCTAAAAAATCGGACTTGGAATGCCTTTTATATTTGATAGACTTTTTCCGGTGCATTGGATTTATGTTGACAAATTTAAGTCGTTGGATCAATGATATAAATGAATTCGGATAGATTTAATTTCATCTGAACTGGGCCGGATGTTTGGGCTCTATGTCTTACTTATAATATTCTTATTCTTACATTGGGCTATTTATTGGATCCAACAGTTATAATAAAATGGCCAACTAAAATTATTTTATACTGTTATTTTCGTCCAAATATATTGTCCCAGTTTTTTATTTTATGTTTTATGAGTTTTAAAATTGGTATGGGTTTTATAATGAAATAAAAAAAAATCAATTTCACAAGATTATATTTTGGTCAGATTTTATGCACAATATTAAAAAAAAAAAAAAAGAAACTGATTACCATAAGATCGGGAATTTCGAATTAGGCAAAATACTATCACATATATCTTTTGCTAATTGCAACATATCAATTGTTTAATAAAAAAATCGGATTGCATAGAAATCAGGTTAATTTAAGTAAAACCCGGCATGATAATTTTGTAAAAGTCAAAATTCTCTCATTTGATATTAAAAAAAAATTGTTTACATAAAATCGAGAATTTCAAATTAGGCAAAATACTATAACATGTATCTTTACCTATTTGCAACATATCATGTTTATTAAAAAATCGGATTGCATAGAAATCAGACTCAATTTCAAATTAAAAATTAAAATTCAAAAATATCTTATCATTTGACTACTACTTTCTTTAATTATGATTTTTTTCTAAAATATATATAGTCAGATAATATTAATTTGAATTTCAAAATGAAATTGGATTGAAACATCCTAAAAATTTTGGTTTTGTTTAATCCTCTAGAATACAAATTTGCAATTGATTCATACACTTACACAGTTTTCCCTTCCTTAAATTAAGTAATTCATAATTTTAAAATAATAAGGCTATAGATTATCATGAAAGACGTCCTACAATCTCTGTTATATTTGGCTATGCAATCTTTATAAAACCAGTATAAATTATATCATATATATCCTGCTAAATAATTTAATTGATTTAGTTAAGCCTATCTAGAATCCTAATATATTTTGTGATGATAGACGATGTACCAAAAGACCAAACAAATAATTTTGTGTACAAGGATGTGTTTAATAATATATAAGTTTCATTTTGTTTTATTCCAATACATGCGTCTTACCGTTCTTCCAATCATCCAATTCTATATGCTTACCTTAATAAAACTAGCCCGTGCATCGCACGGGTACCGCACTAGTATTTAGTACAAGAAATCAAATTGAGGCCTAGATCCATATTCGATTTAATTGTCCCAATAATTCATTAATTTCAAACAGCAAAAGCAAACAATTGAAACTAGTTCAACTCCAGTCATATTTATCCAGATTCAAGAGTGTATATTTTGCGCGAGAAATCTAGAGGCCAATGAATTCGCCAAATATTAGATTCACATAGGATCAAAATAATTCGATTCCCTAAAACTTAATATGAAGAGGCTCTGATACCACTTGTTGGAATTAGCTTTTTACGAAAACCATCGGTTTATCCCAGGAGCATTCATATGAAATAATCGAGAATCAACCGAGGAGCAGAAGCGTACCTTAAGTAGATTTATCAATTTGATCACCATGGAACATGACTTGTGGATCTATAGATCCGATCACCATTGAACATGACTTGAATCACGAACACAACATCAATCACGGGGTTTATGGTCTTCCTCAACTAAATCGCCTTATTCCTCATATGGGACCATCATTCTCAATTCAGATGGGGAGAAAAGAGAACTATGTTTGATTTAGTGTATTGAGGCCATAACCAAGAGGGTCTTTATATACTACTAGGGTAGGCCACCCATTATCACCTAACCCTAATAATATTAGGTATCCACTCAATCAGCCCATATCAATTTACGTAGCCCATGGACTCTACTTTATTTAGATCACTTAATTGAGTTCATTAATTAATAGAATATCTAATATAATTGTATATAATATGTTGCTCATAATTAGATTATATATAGGAAATAAAATATTTCCTAACATAAATATATTATTTTTATTTATTTTTCTTGTCTACAAAATAAAAGCACCTTAACTTATAATAAATTAACACACTTAAGTCTAAATAATAATTTTAATATATTTTAAAGAAAACATGATTACAAAATGTAGTAATGAGTCTTTAAAAAAATAAAAAAAAATTAAAAAATTGTTGCCGAGACCACTTAGGATCCCCTAGGCCCGTCTAAGCCCGCTGAGCCCGCCAAGAAGCGCCGGCCTAGACCCGTATGACCCTTTTTTTCAGCCGATTTGTGCAAATCGAAGGCGGCCGGGCTACGCATAAACGGCTGCCTAGGCCGATTTTTGGTACAGTTTAAGTATCTTGATATTTTCAATCCACAAGCATTAAAACAAAGCCACAAAAAGCTATATAAGTCATTGTTACTCCTATATATAAGGTGATATATTCATCCATGTTTCACAATGTCTTCATATGTGTTTTCTTTTTACCAAAAAATGTGCCTCATATAACCAATAAAGGCTAATACGTCATTAATAAAGAAAACACATAACCAACACCATGATCATATTAGTCTTGAGGCATCAAATTTTGATCATAAAACCTTCAATCATAATCTTAAATTGAACTTGGCGACCAACAATTTCATACTTATGCTTTGATTAACGGGAACCATTCCCAAAAGCGTGACTGTTCATTATATATGTACAACAATTTATCTCCCCCAATCATCTATCGGCATTTCGAGTCGCATCTATAATGATCTCTTCCGGCATCATAGGCATATCAAAATGATGCCAATAAGAGTCGCCCCATTGCACGTCACAATAGAATAGAGTGGTCATCCCAAAGTTGAGGTGAAAGCTCCACTCAACGCATTGCCCTCTTCCAACACGTGAAGATCGATATCATCATCTTTTGAGCGGCAGTGCACGTTCAAACGTACCCCGTTTTTGAGTCGGTTGATCACTTGTACGTGGATTTTTGCATCAATTACGCGACATGCGGTTAAAAGTAGAGTGACAATAATTGATGCGTTTGAAACTCATCATTATAGTGTTTGTGAGAATAGGTTCTTTGGATAACCATTATGGCCTCGTTTACTTTGAAGTATGGGATTGGATAATTTAATCCAACCCAATCCAACCCACTTTACACGTCAGCAATTGTCCTATGTTTACTTTAACAGATACAATTTTCCGATAACAAATCAAGAATTTGTTTTGTGGGACTAAATTAGATGATGGAGCTCAATTTGACAGAATTACCCATGGTGCAATTACTCATATTTTCAGACTGGATGCTCGATTCACAATTGCCTTGTTCTCAAAAATAGAGTACGAGCCCTAATTTTTGCCCTCATAACTCACAGCGGCGTAATTTGGAGTGGTCGGCGACGTCGACGGCAGGCATGGTTGACGTGGGAGAGGACGACATTCCGATGGCAACAGTAATTTGAAGAGGAAGAGAAAACTAAAATATGCCGAATTTGAACAAAATGTAACCTTTAATGAGCACCAAAATAATGAAACCATAACAGGCTGGAATGTCAAGGTGTTTACCTACACCGGTACCTGGGAAAAGCTCACAGTTATGCCCGACGGAGATGGCGTTTTGTTCCGGAGGAATACAAATTGCGATAACTTAAAAAAAAATTGAATTGAAATTGAAATGGAGAAGAAATAGATGGAGAAATCGACGGAGAAAACGAATTAATAAACGAATCTAACGCGAAATCGACATAAATTAAAATGGAGGAAAAAAATGGTGAATGTGGAGCTCACAACAATGGCGCCCCCGTCTTTGCAGAAATTAGGGCAATGCCATGTGAAGATTTTATTTCTATACCAGTTGTAAATTAATGCAAATTAAGGGGTATTTTGGGCATTTAACTGCGAAATTTGAGGGCAATATAGGTATCCTATGTGCAGGATTATTATATCTGGGGGGAAGAGCGGGATAAATTTATCGGCAAATGATGGATGAACCAGTGGAGCCGCCTTCCACATATGCGCCACGTCAGGCAAATCCAATCCCATTCCCATGAAGTAAACGTAAGATATCCCAAGACTATTTTGCTTATCATGTCCTGTCCCGTAAAGTAAACGACGCCTATTTATATAGTGAAGGTGCATCAGCCTGTAGGTCATGGATCTTGTGTTGGTCATATGTTTATTTATTTATTTTGACCATCAACTCAGTGTGAGTAAAGAAAATATGGATAAACTACCTCGCTTTTTCATTGGCTTTTTATGGTTAATTTGCTTGTTAAACTATTTGTTCTTTCATATAAAAAAAAAAAAGTTCTACAATGGGATTTTTTTATTTGGTATTTACTGTTTACTTTAATGTTTGAAACTTGGATAGGGTTTTTGAAAATGACAATTAAGAACAAACACATACACGAATAATTAAACTCGAACGATGTATACAACATATGGATACATTCACTAATTTCCAAGTTATTTTTGTTTTAAATAATTTGTATGTTTTTGGGTATAAATACTCCATTGTCATAGTATGTTATATAGGATGAGTATTATTTTAGAGGAATTTGCACCACATACTCCACCATTCAATTTATATAACACTTATACATTCAATTTATAGTATGTTATATAGGATGAGTATTANATGAAATCAGAAAGTGGATGGGGTCCACTTTTTAGGTAACTGAATTTTAGACATAAATGTATTAAATCTTGACAATTAGGTAGAGACATAATTACTTCTTAATGGATGGTCGATTTGCAAAATTTTTTATTTCATGTAGGATAAGTAAAAATTTTCCTTTATTTTATTTATTTTCAAGGTGTCCAATACGAAACCCTTTGTTGAAGCCCAAGATAGAATTGGAAACAGCCCATATCCAGATGAAAAAAGTGCCCGTTCAGGAAGGAAGAGATAACTTGTGAACCAGAAATATTCTGCGGCTTTGTGTTTCATCACCCTTTACCACATCTCGATTTCAATGTCAATAATGGTTCTGTGAACTCCATTTCATGGTAAAGCTGCATATCGGAGGAAGTATTATGGGATGGGGGCCCAGAAAAGCATTCATGTTGGCAATGGTATTGTTACTCTTTAACATTCTTCCTCATCCTCGTTCACTGATTTTTTTTCGAAAGCAAAATGCAAAATTTGATGATGTACAGCGATAACACATTGATTTTCTGACCTAATCCTTATTTTGTTTGTCATATGTGTAGCCAAGATTGACTTCAATGTTGATTTCACCCACAAACTGTGTTCTACTTTGAAGTTTGATCCTTTCAGGTGTTCTGTGTTTTTCTTTCTTCAACTGTATTGTATATGTAATATGAGGCAGTATCATCTAAATTATTTTGATTGTCCCCCTCTTTACTCTTCTGTTGATAGAAATGCTGGTGAAGAGAGTCCCCTTTCACTAGTTATTGGAAGGTGACGAAAATAGTTTTCAGCATCAGTGGTTCATGGGATTGAGTGTAGTCCATTATTTATTTAATTATTTATTTTTTCGGCCAGCCTCTGCATCAAGCATCCAAATTTATTTGGAAAGGGTGAGAAGCTTGTTTTCTTGTGGGACAAAGGGCTCTGTGATTCCAACATAATGATTACATACCGTAAACCAAAGTCAGCATGCCTCTCACAACATGCCTTCACAATTCAGGTTGCAATGTCATTTGCATTTTGTTAGTTATAATTGATCTTTCTCTAGCTGGAGGCACAACATTTGCCTTCGTCATGCAAGTTGCTATTTTTACGTACTTATTAGTTTCTAATAGACAACTCACGTTCTGGATAAGGATATCTAAAGATTCTTGTAGGTATGCAGTCATGTAGGACAATAGCTAGTTTATCTGGTTGTGAAAACTGTGTGTTGATTTACGAGTCTTCATCTATTATTCTGTTAGCCATTTGCGCTTGTCAAGGCTTATTATCAAGTGCCCTGTTGGGAAGTTCGAGCAATTTTTATGCCATGCCGTTAGCTAAGACGTGACATTAAGTAGTTTTACTCTTCACTGAAAGAACCTCCTATACACTTTTGAAAGTTTCATGTGCAATTTTGACTGATACTTGGTGTATTTTAATTCTTTTTCGTTGCCCTCCAGCACTCTATTTCTCCAGAGCTGGGGATTCATGGCATCCCAGTGGATAACTTCTCCCGTTCTGGGGGAGGAGGTGTCAGTCTCTCTCGAACATCTATTAGTGTGGACCTGAGTGAGCCCTTGAGTTCCAATTTGAGCAGTAACACTAGCGCAAAGTTTGAGGTTCTGCTCATACAACCATATATGCAGCTTATTGAATTGTAGTTTTAAAAAGTGAACTGAAATGAAGTGGTTTCTGATGTTTTTGTTTTGTTTTTTTTTTTTTTTTACNCAAACTTCTATTTTTGGTTTTACGTAATGTAAAATTTACGAGAAGGAGAAGCGTGGTACAGACTTCTGGTGGTGTTTCTGGCTTTAACTTATATGTCAACAAAATTTTTTGAACTTAATCAATCTTCAGATTTTTTTCTGCAAATACTACCAGCTTCGGATTCTCAACTATTTTTAGTTTTTGCTTAAATAAGTAATAAATTATTATATGATACATCAGCATCAATCTGAAACTATAACTTTATATAAGTACAAGTTTTGATTTTAAAATTTATCCTTCTTAACTATTCTTCCTGTTTGTTAGTTTATTGAGGTAAACATAACAAAATACTCCCCGTTCTTTTGCAAACTACGCGAGATGGTGAATGTATCTCGTGGGCCCATATGTTGTCATCTATGTCTACAATCAAACTTCTTTTCTCTTTCAAACATTCCCTAACAATAAACCAATGCAGCATGTCCGGCCCATTAATGATGACGGTCGCTCTATAAGCAGAGACATTCATGGCTTTCCGGTGACTTGCAGGTGATAAAGGTACTAATAACCCATTCAAATGATTTCGTAATTCCTACTAACGAGGTTCACTTCTTTTGTTGCTTTTTTACAACTTCAGTGGTGGTTATCATGATAACATGGCAGTAATCAAACAAGAATTTTGTTACACAACGGAGAACGATCGCAGTTTTACTCGAGTAAGTACAATTTTTTTTTTTCTCACAAAATCTCAATGATTTGTCACCCATACTTATTTAATTGGTTAGTCAGGTTGTGATTTATGCACCTTTTATGAAATCTTTTGAATGTAGTGTAGACTGCAAATAGAACAAGGAATTCCTATTCGCAGAAAGTGGCTGATATTCAGTCGGTACAAGCTTGTTGGGTCGAAGGGAATAAAACTTGGACATGCATTTTTATTGACAAGGCGAGTAATGACTTTAGCATGTTGAGTTCCGTAATCAAATTGTAACCCAAAAAGCACTCAACTAAAATATGGAGAAGCTGGAAGAACAAAGTGTGAATTACGTCAGTAAATGAATAAAAGCTATATACAGTAAGTTGAGGGAACTAAATGGATATGGAGTTATCAAACGAATGCCAAAAAAGCACTAAACTACTAGTCCATATAGAAATACAAAATGTTATTTTCTTAAAAATGTCATTTTTCCATTTTGGAAATATCAAAATCATCAGTCTCTTGTTGAACAAATTCTAATTCAGTTTGGAACAAGGAAAAAGCACTGATGTCATATGGTAGCTCATGCAGTTTGCTTAGGTAACCTGTTAGTTTTATGATTTGTTTTCCTTGCAATTTTTGTTTTTCATTTTATAGATTGTTTTGCAGCCTTACAAGTGGCTCCATTGTAGGAGACATAGCTCCTTATGAAGCTTTCTCAATTGGCGGACAGGGTAGTGTAAGGGGCTATGGTGAAGGTGCAATCAGTTCCGGTCAGTCATGCCTTGTTGCTAACGCTGAACTAACATTACCTCTGGTAACTCATAGTGTGGCCCTTTTTTNNNNCTTTTGGTATCCTTTTGAATTTGTGCAAACTTGTAAGATATTTTTCCTCCATCAGCCCTTTTGCTTTATGTTTTCTTCCCTTGTTGCTGCACTATACTTTCTGCAGTTCACTTGATGCCCCATTAATTTGCAGTTTTACATTGGCTCCCTTAATGTAGATATCGAATTACTCACGTCATCAAACATCATTTGCCTTCTTGTGTCCAGAGCCCAATGCTCAAGGGTGCTGTTTTCTTGGATTGGGGATCAGATATGAGCTCAGGTCGTCATGTGCCTGGTCAGTTTATGATCTTAATTAAGCCATGTCCTCAATTTTACTTATCTTGTTTATGTCCTCGACTGTTAAATGGAGGGACTTGATTAAATGGGAATTGTAAACTATATGGTTAGTATGAACCACTTTCAGTATTTCAAAGAAAATACCACTTAGGGAACCAAAATCAAAACAACTAACTTTAATTTAAGCTTTTTTTTTCTTGTTTTTTTAACTTGCTAGTTGCTAGTATACTGCTCGTATGCCAGGTATCCAGATTGCACTTGCCCTTTTTTTTCGTAATTTATCTCTTTATTGTAGGGGTGGGCACGGTCCGGGATTTGGCCTGCGTCCCGTTACCTGTCCCACTTTTATGAACCGGTTTGTGACGGTCAGGGATGAGACACCGTTCCAAATGGACGGTATCATTGATAAAACGGTTGGGTACCATGCCGATTCGGGACAAAAAAATAACAACTATGTTTGTTTCAAGTAAAAAACTAAAACTGTAAAACAAAATCATCAAATAACAAATATCTAGCAAATTAACTATTTTTTTTTTTTTACCAATTCAAATAAACCAAAGCCTACAAGTCAATGTTTGTTTTCCATTATATTAATGGACCTATTGTTAATTGTGTGATTACTATAATAATAATATCTATATAAATATAAAAAAGGTTTGAATTTATTAAAAATGGTAAGATTTTCATGCTAAAAAATTCATGCTTATTAAATAAAGAAATATTTTAAACAATTTTTTTTTTTTTACTTTTCCTTTTTAATTTTCTTTTGGTAATTTTTTCTTTAAATTTGTGATGAGACTTTTATTTTTATTTTAGATAATGTGATATCAATAAATGGGCTAAATCTATTGATTAACTTTCTAAAAGATTTTAATCAATTATTTTATTTCTATCGAATATATTTCTACTTTTATTTTTAGTGATATGATATCAATAATTTGATATTAAACTTTTAAAAAATTTACAATTAATTATTCAATTTCCACCTAATGTAAAATTTTATTTGACTTGAAAATATAAATTAATTAATCACTCCAAACATAATCATTTGTAAATTAAGAAATATATTTGAACTTTAAAATAATTCCTGAAACACATAGATGAAATAGTTTCCTAACTATTATTTTTTTTTCATATTTAATTTCCAAGTTATTGTCTATTTTTCCTTTTCCTTTCTAATTATTAAGTATTAATGTCATTTCTTTTTAGAAGCTCAATTATATATTTATTTCTTACCCATCTTTTATATAATATTAAATTAACTTTCATTTTACAATTTTCGAGATACTCATATTGTATGTATAAATAAAAATAATTATTTTTAAGGTATTAATAAATTTATAAGTTAGTAGTGCATATAAAAAATGAACTTAAATTTATAATTTAATACTGATTTTCAAATAAGAATTAGTCTCAAGTTATTCATACAATCAACTATAATTGTATTTATAATAAAATGTGTTTAGTATAAAATAAACTAAAATAGTAATTAGTATGTTTATTATTCATTGGTTTAAAAAATTAATACTAAAAATTTAAAAATATAGGAAAAAATTATTTCAAGGATCAAGTATATACAATGTTAAAATGAGAAACTAATAGGCAATTTGTTGAACTGCCACGTAAATTACTGGATTATGAAAATAAAAATATTTATAACATGTTTTGTTATAAATTATGATAATCCAGTGAGTCATCTACGAACTGTAATAGTAAATTATAAGTTTAAAAACAAAATTAAAATATAAATAATATATATTGTTACGAATAATAATGACAAACCAACGGATCATCTGTTAAACACTTATAGAGAAAAAAAATATTTATAATGTATGTTGTTATAAATTATATTAATAAACCAACAAGTCATCTATGAAACAACGATCTAAATTGTTAGCTTAGAAAAAAGTCATAATATTTATAATGTATATTGTTATAAATTGTAGTGATTTATCAACCTGTAGTGTGATTTATTAAACTAGAAAGAAAATTCAAAATATTTATAATATACTTTATTAAATACAATACATTAAGATAATTTTAAAAATAGTATACACTATATTCTATTTTTAAACTGATTGTCGGTTTAATATTTGTCTTAATTTTTTAACTTTACCATTATTTATTTAAGAATCAAAATGATATACTGTAATAAGGTATAAGTAAGAGAAGAGAGAAAGAAGTACTTTTTGTGAGTATTATTTATAATACTTCTGATTATTATTTATTTATAATGTTTGGTTATGTTAATTTACATGTTTCTTAATTCTAAATAGGAACCTAAACTGAAAGAATTTTAATTTTATAACTGGTGAAATAAGTATATAAATCATATAATAAATTGTTACATTTCATAAATATAAAATAAAAGGTAAAATAAATACAATTTACCATTATTGTCACATCGCACGGGCTACTTACTAGTAAAATATAAAACGGTTTGGTACCGAGAACGTTACGAAAATAAAGAAAACCTTTCGGAACTTTATTTTTGTCCGGTTCGGTACGAAAAATTTGGGTATTTTGCCCACTCCCACTTTATTGAAAACTAGGTGCCATTTTCATTATTGTGCTTCATTATTTTCAGAATAGTATTGACATCATGGATTCTTGTCTAGTTAGTGAGAAGAACCCATCTACCACATGAATGTGTAGCCGCTTTTGTTCTTATTTGTGTTGTGTGTCAATTTTGGAAAACAACGGTCGTGTAGACTTGTCAATTACTGAGCTTTTTCTTAGATTCTCTGTTCATAAGCTTTTGTAGGTTCTTTGTTCATTTTCTCAAAGTGATGTTCATGGCTGTATATGTACGGGCTTCTACTTTTCATTTTTTTTATTTTTTCATTTTTCTTTTCAACCTTTATGCCGTTCAAGAAATTCTTCTTTTACTTTATTTTAATATTTATTCAGGAAATCCTGCTCTTAGGCATGGTAAACCAGGAAGTGGGTTCGGTTTTGGATATGGTCTTCGGTTTAAATCTCCTCTGGGGCATGTTCATGTCGACTATGCTTTCAACGCATTTCAACAAAGGACAGTGTATTTTGGGTTTAGCAATATGTCCTGATAAGATCCCTTGCTATTAAAGCCCTTCAAATTTATCTATCACCTTAAGGTCATACCTCGCACTTGGGATTTGATTTTTGGTCTCAGAAATTACTGCCACTTTCTTTCCTCAATTCTAAAGTTGAAATTAAGCATTCGTTTAACTGGGCATTATATGTTGCGATCCTCTTTATTTTTTATTTTTATTTTTTGGACTTCAACCCTTTAGATTGAGTAGCTAAATTCTGCTTTCTCAGTAGATATATTTTACCGGCTGCTCTTTATTACCTGTGTGTTTAGGGGGTGCTTGTTTCAAAATGAGTTATTTTGGTTAATCATAGTTAATTTTAAAAAATGTAGTATGGCTAGTTGTTAGTAGAATTTTAAGAATGTATTAAAATAATATTTAAAATAAAATAATTAAAATTGATTTGATGTAAAAGTAGGAGAGAAATGATTGAAAATGATTGGAAATGATAGGTAGTTAAAATTATGTGAGTGGATGAATAGTGAATTGAAGTTGATGTGATGTGTAAGAATGATTGATTTGTATAATTTAATTATATAAATAATATTAAAAATAGTGGAGTTGGGTTAAAATTGAGTTAAATTTTGAGTATGAATTGAATGAGAACGAAATAATTTATAAACAAGCATGCCCTTAATAATTTGTTGTGCAATATTTTGTTTGGATATAATCGCAAGAGTTAGTACGAATGGATTCTTTAAAGCTCGAAAAATCAGGCAATGTGAAGATTTAAAAGTAACGCAAAATGGTCAGGCTATAGTTTTATTTTTTAATTTCTATTTTATTTATTTATTTTATTGTCGAAACAATAGATTGTATTGACTATAGTTGGGTCATAGGTGTTGCATACTAAATTTGTGTATTATTGTTATTTTTAGAGAAAATTACAAAATTAGTCCCACATAATTGGATGAGTTGTAATTTTGGTCCCACAAATTGTAAAAATAGTTTTTTATTTTTTTATTTTTGTTTCTTTTGTTGCAAATTTAGCCCCATCACCGTTGACAGTTAACGGAATACTAAAGGACCGTTAGATGATTCACACAACAGTGAAATTTTGCAAAGTGGTCCCATAAAATATTTGGTTCCAAGTTTAACAAAATTGGATTTAAATATTTTTTTATTGCAAGAATAATCCTATTTGCTTTAAATATTATGAAACAATTTTAGAGAATTTATTATTTCTTTAATTATGTATTATGCACATTATCTTCATTTTAAATTATTTATACCTTTAAAAATTGTAAACAACATGTTTTTTTAAAATTATTAATCATCTTTTCTAAGTTAGTTCTAAAGTTGTCAATATCTCGTAGTTATAGCAAGTCGATTATTGAAAAATGAGCAATAATAGAAAATTAATAACAAGGTGATAAAATACTACTTGTATTAAAAAATATTTTGGAATAAATAATTTCATATATTAAACTACAAATAATTTGAAATAAAAAATTGAATAATAGTGTAATTAAGATTATAAAATTCGCTAGGCATTTTGCTAGGCAACGAGTTGGTGCCTATTGCTTAGGTAGGGATTATTCTAGACCTAGGCGGACTCGTAAATATATTAATAAGTTTATTTATATCTATTTCCATACATAATTTCCAAGTGACATTATATATAATACAATAATTAATATGATCAAATACCAAGATTATCTAAATTATAATATATTCAGAGCTATTATATTAATTTTAGTATTAATTGTATAATTAATATGTACTTTATGAATAAAATTAAAACTTATTATATTATAATTTAAAAATAAAAAACAATTAAATTACATTGAAATTTTAGTGGATTTGATGATTTCAATTACCATTATTTATTGTTGTGTGAATTATCGTTGAATTTTTTTGGATATATTTCAACCATTTTAAAAAACTGTAATTGGAATTGTAAAAAATTCAAGGGAAGTTCCGATAGAAAGTCAACTGCAGTGGCGAGTCCAAATATTTCATATTTGGGGCACTATACAGGTAATAGGAAAGAGTATATCATCTAAATAACATAATGTCACTACAATTTATAAATTTCAAGTTATAATTTGTCATCTTTTTCATTTGTAATACTTTTTTAACACATCAATACAATCACAATAAGTTAAAAAATATTAAAAGAAAACATAACTTTTCTCAATTCAACATAAGAAAATAATCAAAAATAATAATTTTTTAAATTTTTATGAACAAAAAATTTATGTTGTAGTATATGTTTGTCCCATTTTTGTTGCATTTTTTCTTATTGTTTTGTCTCTCTTTTTCTCCCGTTTTAGGTCTTGTTCGTTTTGTAGTTTATTTCATGGTTTGCATTGAGCGTTTCGTTGCTAACACACAGGAAAAAGCAGAATTAAATTCCGAGTCCAAACGAGCCCGGACAACTCCGAAACGTGAAGTCGCGCAAGCAGCCCAAGCACCTGCTCACCAGGTGCCGCGGCACCCGCCCCGACCCCGACAGAGTTCTCAGGCTCCCAGGCCCCCGCGCCGCGGCAATCAGCTCCCTCCACGTCGCACTGCAACGCGCGGCAACCTTCACGCCTAGATAGAGACCACGCTTCCCAGCGCCACGCCGCGGAGGACTGCCACGCCACCAACCTGAAGCCTCCGCGCCCACGCCACAGTATCACGCCGCGCCATAGTATCACACTGCGCCACTAGACTTCCTCACGACGCGGAGCATGCGCCACGGCACGCCACAGCTCCCCTTCACGCTCGTGTCACTATGTCATGCCGCGAGACCCTGTCCCCTATATATATGCGCACGGGATTTCGATCAGGGGGAATCTCGCTCCTTCCGAGTGAAAACCCTAGGGATAAAAACACGAAAAAACTCCCTTCTCCTTTCCCCTTTCTTCTTCTTTTCATCCTTCCAATTATGGGCGGATCCATATTTATTCAATCTCGAACCGAACGATTAATTGCCCGATTTTACTAAAAGAACTTGAATTAATTATCCCCGACGCCCTAGCTTCTTCATCTTTGTTCGCTAATATTTTTAGGTAGATTACTGTTTCATATTATTTCATAGTTAATAATTCATTCAAACCCTTATCCGATTAGAGTGTTTAGGATTTATTTTCTTTTTCTGTGTGATCGGTACCAAAGCTAAATTCCGAACCGCCTTCCTCGAGAGATCGACCCGGGGAACGAATTATTCGATTCGATACTCGGTAAAAATAATAATTTGTACACAACAGTATAGTTGATTCGACAATCAAAATTATGAATGTATAACTGAATTCCACATACATTATTAAAAAAGGTATAAAAATATATTTTGAAGTGAGAAAAAATTATGTTACAAAAGAGAAAATAGAAATTATCATCAAGATTAAAAAGATAGAATTAGATGATAAAATTATAAATTTTGAGATTTATCATATTTCCTTTAGTTGTGATACCACGTTTATGTTATAACTTTAATAAAGTTAAGAGCTGAATTAAATTATAACTGATTGAGTTTAAAATTAATTCATTATGTATTTTCTTTCTTTTAATTTTATTTTTTAAATAAGGGGCAAGATTATAATTGTGAAAAATGCTCCCACAATTTTTGTTAGATACCTTATATTATATGTTTTGGAATTAGAGCCTGTGTCGGGCCTATTAAATAAATATGGATCCGCCCATAATTTCAACGAAATATTTTTATTAAAATTTTCCGTGAAAAATTAAACAGAAGTAATAACATTGAAATATTCGTTGGAATTTTCGTTGAAATTCCGTTGTAATATATTTCATTGAAATTTTCTTTTGGAATTTCATCATTTTCTTGTAGTAAAAGTTAGGCTCTAAATCAATAAAAAAATTGCATTATATTATAAAATTTGTGAAGCTAATTATTATGAGAATTGTCGAAAATGATACAAAATATAACACATTCAATGTAATTATGATAATTAGTAATATCTTCAAAACAAACGAGATAAATCTAGGTTGAAAAGTCATTAATTATTTTATTAATATTATAATAACTAAAAAAGGGGTAACAATGATGTTCTATGTAATAAAAATGTAAGACTACACAATGAGATAACTTATACCTCACATTCAATCCAAAAATAAAAAAGAGTGATCAAATTAATTAATGTCCTATATGAATTGGAGTAGGCTAATGAGCAATACAAAACATATTTAAAATATATACAAATTTATTTTAATTAGAACTTTTAAGCACGCGCGCGCGCGCACACACACACACACACACACACACACACACACACACACATATATATATATATATATTATTACATTAAATATAAGTATGGTAGTCTTAATCTTTTTGGTTAAAAATTTAATTATTTTCTACCTTTAAATTTTTCATTTTTAAAATATTTAATATATGTTAATTTACTACCCTTTTTGTATGTAATATATCACATCATTTCTTTCCATATGTTTGATTTGATCTATGTATTGTAAATAAAACAAAAATAATATAATTATTTGACATAAAATACTATATATATATATATATATATATATCATTACTAGTTTAAAATAATAAATGGACCTAAAAGTATCTTATAAAATAAATTATAAATTCATGCTAATTCAATTTTATTAAGCATAAAATAACATAAGATAAACTTGTGTTATAGTTTTCTTACATAAATTTGAAAAAATCATACTAAAATAAGTACAAAATAGATGTAAACATACAACTATTACCAACATTAACGATGTGAATTAAAATGAAAAATAAATGAGTTGTATGTTAAACTATTATTCAGTTATTGTTTGAAAGGGGAACACCAAAATGGTTGTAACATTTTTTTTTCAGTATTCTAGAAGTCGTTAGTCGCTCGACTAGTGCCTAGGCGGGGTGACGAAGATGGAATTTTGGACGCCTTTGGACGTAAGTGGTCGAGGGTTGAGACGACCCGAGAAGACCTCGCAAAGGCCTAAAACAGCGTGAACATGGGCTGGGAAACGCGTGCCAGCTCGTGTGAGACAGCGCACGGGTCATTAGGACAATGACCCACGCCACAGCAGCAGGCCTCGTAGAGACAGCAGCGCAGGTAACCCAAGTTGACCGCGTGACAGGAAGACGACAACCCGCGAGACCTGACAACGCACACCTGGGCGAGGCAGACAACGCACGACAGAATAAGACCGCGCAACTGGAGATGCCGCAGCAGGAGACCGCACGACCGGGAGGCGTCCGCGCGACCTAAGCTGGGTCGCACTGGCAGCGGACCAGAGTCTAGCAGACCCGAGCAGGCATAGGCCTGGCGTGTCCACCAAGCATGGCAGCA